AGAGATCAGGTTTGTGACGATGTGAGGATCCTGAACACCTGTAAGTCTATGGGACCCAATGAGATGCGACAAGGAAGGCTAAAGCCTGCCTGGAATTAAATCTGGCAAAGGGGATAAAGGATAATAAAAAAGGTTTTTTCAAGTACATTAACAGTAAAAGGAAGACTAGGGAGAATGTGGCTCCCCTGCTAAGTGACGGGGGTGTTCTGGTAACGGGGGATGCTGAGAAGGCAGAGATACTGAATGCCTTCTTTGCTTCTGTTTTCAGTGAAAAAGCTCCTCCTCGGGAATCTGAGACCCTGGAGGTGAGTGAGAGGATCTGGGGAATGGCAGACTTCCCTTTAGTCAGGGAAGAGGTGGTCCGGGAGCGCCTAGGCAACATCAATGTTCAGAAATCCATGGGACCCGATGGGATTCATCCACGGGTGCTGAGGGAGCTGGCAGAGGTGATTGCTGAACCGCTTTCTGTCATCTTTGAGAAGTCTTGGAAGACGGGGAAGGTGCCTGAAGACTGGAAGATAGCCAACGTCACTGCGGTCTTCAAAAAGGGCAAGAAGGAAGACCTAGGCAAATATAGGCCAGTCAGCCTCACCTCTGTCCCTGGAAAGGTGATGCAACAGCTTGTACTGGATGTCATCTCCAGACAACTGGAAGAAGAGGAGGTTATCAGGAGTAGTCAGCAGGGATTCACAAGGGGGAGGTCGTGCTTGACCAACCTGGTAGCCTTCTATGATGTTGTCTCTGGCTGGGTGGATAGGGGGAGAGCAGTGGATGTAGTCTACCTTGATTTCAGCAAGGCATTTGATACTGTCCCCCACGACATCCTTATAACAAAGCTGAGGAAGTGTGGGATAGATGAGTGGACAGTGAGGTGGGTTGAGAACTGGCTGACTGGCAGAGCACAGAGGGTCGTTGTTGGTGGTGCAGAGTCCAGTTGGAGGCCTGTAACCAGCGGTGTTCCTCAGGGGTCTGTGCTGGGTCCGGTCTTGTTCAACATCTTCATCAATGACCTTGATGAGGGGATAATGGCCACCCTCAGCAAGTTTGCTGATGATACGAAGTTGGGAGGATTGGCTGACACGCCTGAAGGCTGTGTTGCCATTCAGCAAGACCTGGATAGGCTGGAGAGCTTGGCAGAAAAAAAACGGATGAGGTTTAACAAAAGCAAGTGTAGAGTCTTGCATCTGGGGAGGAATAATTCCATGCACCAGTACAGGTTGGGGGATGAGCTGCTGGAGGGGAGCTCTGCGGAAAGGGACCTGGGTGTCCTGGTGGACGACAGGTCGGCCATGAGCCAGCAGTGTGCCCTTGTGGCCAAAAAGGCCAATGGCATCCTGGGGTGCATTAAAAAGAGTGTGTCCAGCAGGTCGAGGGAGGTGATCCTCCCCCTCTACTCTGCCCTGGTAAGGCCTCATCTGGAGCACTGCTTCCAGTTCTGGGCTCCCCAGCACAAAAAAGACAGGGATCTCTTGGAAAGAGTCCAGCGGAGGGGCACAAAGATGGTGAAGGGCCTGGAGCGTCTCTGCTATGAGGAAAGGCTGAGTGAACTGGGTCTGTTCAGCCTTGAGAAAAGAAGACTGAGAGGGGACCTGATCCAGGTCTATCAGTATCTAAGGTGTGGGGGGCAGAATGGCGAGGCCGGACTCTTTTCAGTGGTGAGTGGAGACAGGACAAGGGGAAACGGCTGGAAACTGCAGCATAGGAAGTTCTGCACCAATGTGCGCAAGAACTTTACAGTGAGGTGACGGAGCACTGGAACAGGCTGCACAGGGAGGTGGTGGATTCTCCTTCTCTGGAGATGTTCAAGACCTGCCTGGATGCCGACCTGTGTAACCTGGTGTAGGGAACCTGCTTTGGCAGGGGGTTGGACTCGATGATCTCTGGAGGTCCCTTCCAACCCCTGCAATTCTGTGATGCTGTGATTCTGTGAGATGCAGCCCAGAGTCCTAAAGGAAGCGGCTGATGCAGTTGCTGAGGCACTAACGGTGACATTTGAAAAGTCATGGCAGTCACGTGGAGTCCCCTGTGTCTGGAAAAAGGCAGTGTTGTACCTGTTTTTAACATGGGTAGGAGGGATGACCGAGGGAACTACTGACTTCTCAGCTTTGCTTCTGTGCTGGGGAATATCATGGAAGAAATTCACCTGGAAGCTGTGCTAAGGCACATGGAAGAGAGAGAAGTGATACAGGAAAGCCAGCATGGCTTCATCAAGAGCGAGTCCTGTCTGATCCATGTTGCAGCCTTCTACAGTGGTGTCACTGCGTCAGTGGGAAAGGGAAGAGCCAGTGATGTCTTCTACTGGGACTTCAGGAAGGCCTTGGACACAGGCCCCTACAGCATCTTTGTCTCACAGGAAGATGAGTGATTGTTTGATGGCTGGACAATTAAATTGATGAGGAACTGGGTGCGAGACCTTAGCCAGAGAATAGTGGTCAGTAGCTCAGTGTCTGGGTGGATGCCAGTGATGCGTGCCACCCCTCAGGAATCAGGACTGGGGCTGATGCTCTTTGATATTTTCATCAGTGACATCAGTGTTGGGATCAAGTATGCTCTCAGCAAGTTTTAGGATGACACTAAGCTGCGTTGTGTTGTTGAAATGCTGGCAGGGTGGGATAGCATCTTGAGACGCCTAGACAGACTTAGGCAGTGGGCCCTGAAGAACTTCATAGAATCATAGAATCACCAAGGTTGGAAAAGACCTTCAAGATCATCCAGTCCAACCGTTCACCTATTCCAATAGCTGCCACTGAACCACGTCCCTCAACACAACATCCAGCCTTTCCTTGAACACCCCCAGGCTCGGTGACTCCACCACCTCCCTGGGCATCCATTCCAGTGCCTGACCACCCTTTTTGAAAAGTAATACTTCCTAATATCCAGCCTGAATCTCCCCTGCCGTAGCTTGAAGCCATTCCCCCTGGTCCTATCACTGATGACACGAGAGAAGAGGCCGACCCCCAGCTCACTACAACCTCCCTTCAGGAAGTTATAGAGAGCAATAAGGTCTCCCCTGAGCCTCCTCTTCTCCAGGCTGAACATTCCCAGCTCCTTCAGCCTCTCCTCATATGGCCTGTGTTCCAGACCCCTCACCAGCTTTGTTGCCCTTCTTTGAACACGTTCCAGGGCCTCAATATCTTTCTTGCAGTGAGGGGCCCAAAACTGGACACAGTACTCGAGGTGCGGCCTCATGACATTCAACACATGCAAGTACAAGGTCTCGCACCTAAGTTGCAGCAACCCCCGCTATCAGTATGAGCTGGGGGATGAAGGGATTGAGCACAGTCCTTTTGAAGAGGGCTCAAGATGTGGCAAGTTGGACATGAGCCAGCCCTGTGACCTCACAGCCCGTGAAATTAAGCATGTCCTGGGCTACACCAAAAGAAGAGTGGCCAGTATGCTGTCGGAGGTGATCCTGCTCCCTCTGCTTTGCACTGGTGAAACCGCTCCTAGAGTACTATGTCCAGATGCAGTGTCCTCAGTATAGGGTGGTCTTGGACCTGTTGGAGTGAGTCCAGAGGAGGGCCCCAAAAATGATGCAAGAAATGGAATACCTTCCTTATGAGGACAGGGTGAGAGAACTGGGGCTGCTCAGGCTGGAGAGTTCTGGAAGACATGAGAGTGGCCTTCAAGTATCTAAATGTAAGAAAGAAGGGGCACACTCTTCCCTGTCTTTGGAGCTGCTCAGTGTCAGTCAGTCAGTCTTTGTGCTGCCTGTAGATGTCACTGTTCATAGCAGGGGAATTGGACTAGATGGCCTTTGAATGTCCCTTCCAACTCAAATAATTCTGTGATTTCCCAATGGGATGAGTATGTTAGAGCTGCTACACGCTGTACGTGTTTCAGTTGCTATCACAGAAAAGTGTAATTAGTTCAGACGTTTTGGGTATTACGAAGATGGGGTATTACAAAAATGGGGGTATTACAAAGATGTATCTTCTGCTTTGATACAGTGAATCAATTCATTATTCTGATTAGAATCACTCAGTAAAATTTACAGGCAGGATTCTATATACTGTGTTGGTGACTTGAGACGTTCCATTGTTTCATGCTTTGAATTGAAATTTTCAGGCTAGTTTGATTCCAGACTGCTTGAGACCCATCTGTGCTGCTGTTTCTTCTCTGAATTATATAACTAAAGTTTTTTATAGCTTGTAGTTTATGCAGAATATAGAGCTACAACTGAATTACACAGCATTAATTTTCCAGTTTGATTATAATTTAAACGTGAAATAATAGGTTTTGAGATGTTTATATATTAAATATCTTAACTTCTAAAGTTGGTAAGTTCAGTAAGCTTTTTAAGGCTAAAATCCAAGAGGTTCACGTATGCCATGTGATGGTCTTTGTCAGCTACGTATCTATTTTCCTTTCTACTCTTTCTTCAAGCAGACATTTGAGCTCTTCAAAAATAAAAGATAAGCCTTAGTTGAGCCTTAGTCCATTCAATTTTGTCTTTGCAAAGGAGAGGTTTGTAAATACGTGAAACTGGGAAACGTTGTTTCATGGCTTGCAATTTCCTCTCTGTATTTGTATATTGGGAGAGAGAAAGAGGATGCCTGGCAAAAGTTGATATGCACTGCATATATAGCTTAAATGCTGAGATGTTTGAAATTTCTGTTTACTTTTTTTCCTGCTAACTATCAGGGTTTTGCTCAATAGAATATTACTTTTAGTATTTCAGTGGTATATATTCAGTGATTTATAGTCTTGATGCACTGTTTTTAGTCATGAAAAGACCAGTCCAGGTCTTCAGGTATTTATGATTCACTTATAAGAACATCTGAAAGGATTAGATGTCGTTTGCTTATTGTATAATTTTTTGAAAATATTGATTTCTGAATTGCAAATACTGAATGTAAAGTGCTTTGATAAATCCTATTTTAATTGAGTTTCAATCCAAGTTTGACCTTTTGGTGACAGGATCTTAACTGGACATTTGATTGGAATTCACTGTTTTCCTACTTAGAATAAAATGTACTTTTTTCTTCCTCTCTCCTCAGAATCAGCGAATCCCATCTGACATGGTTTTTCTCAGAACATCAGAAAAAACTGGTATGTTTTGATAATTCAGGTTGGCTACATGATAACTTGGTCATTGTAGTAATATTTTAGATTGTGCATTATGGTCAAACTGATAGCAGGAAATCCACATTTGTGAGATTTATGGGGGGTGAGGGGCAGGAGTGTATATATCTGAGAAAAATAGTATGCTTGGACTTAAAACTGGGAAATCTCACTGTGAACTGTGAATGTGAGACCTATAGAGATGCATTCTTTTAAATAGATGACTGATACAACAAAACTTCAGGTAATGCAAATATCAAGACTAGTTCAGTATACTTTAGAACAATATTTGTCTAATATAATAACTTAGTATTTTTGGATATTACTGCAATACATTAAATGTCACTTGATTTGATTTTCAGTTAATGGAAAAGAACTGAAACAATATCCCACTGATGTGATTAAAATTACTTTAGAAATGTATTAAAGTGATCTAAAAAACATTAGGATAGCTATTTTTTTTTTTTTTCCCTTTTGAAGCGATACTTCCTCTTTGGGCAGTCAAATATATAGAACCTTATGCAACCTGCAGAAACTGCAAACAAACAACAACAACAACAAAAAAAAAGCACAAAAAAAAAAAACCAAACACTTTTCTTGAGTGAGGAGAAGGAAAGAACTTCTCATTGATTCCGTTTCTCTCTATATGGCGATAAGAGTACTCCTGAGCTCTGAACATATATTTCCTTTACATGAGCCCTATAAATTACAGCTATTAGGATTAAAGTTTGCAAGTGATAGTCCCCATGTAACTCAAAAAAAAAACCCACCAAAAAACAAAACAAAACGAAAACTCAAAGAATTTGCCTTCTTTATATTGCTGTATCATGAAGAGCTGTCTGATATTTGTCGGACAGCGCTAACTTTCATATAGGAATATCACAGCTCTTAACCTTGTGTTAGGAGTGCTTTGATGTTTTACTGTCCCATTGGAGTTCTATTTCAGAAATCATTTGAAAGAAAAGTCAAATGTTTGATTTGCCTGTAGAACACTATTGGAGCTACGTATTCACTAGAAGAAATTGCAACAAGTATTATGCAGTCACTGCCTTATCATGATTTTGAAGTGATTGACTGCTAGGTGCACTAGATTATGTTTAACTGGTCTGGACCAGCAGTGTTGTCTAATAGTACATATAATCTTAATCCTGGTTAACTGTCCTCTGCTTCAGAATGCATAATGTACTAAATTTCATAATGCTTTTGACAACTCAAAGATCTTGGATCCAACATGATTATAAAGTGATTGATGATGTCTCCTTTTGGGCTGCTTGCAGCATCGTGTCTTAACCACTGAAGCCTAAAAGTGTTTCAGCTAGAATCATAAGAACTGTTAAAGCTCAAATGACATCTGCTAGAAAAGTAGAAACATGAGTTAGACTCTGTAGAAGAATTACCTTAAACTAGGCCTGTTGCATGCTATGCCTTAGCATAAGAGGTACATTTATGGAAATTTGTCTTAGTCTTTACCAGTTAAATTGTATTAGATAAGTGGGCATTTAGAAGCAGTTGTCATCTCCAGTTGCAGGAGTATGTGTCAATGCTGATATCTTCAAGAGATGTATGCATGGCAGAAACGTGTTGAGAACTCATTGTGTAGTAATGTGTAGTGTTTGCTGTTGTGAAAACGTGGAAAGCTGTCCCTAATTGGGATCAGCATTCTCACTGCTGGAATAAAAGTGCGGTCAAGCAACTGTATAATTTGCAATGACAAAATTTCTTCAATTATGTTTTGCATGTCTACTCTGTGGCATGCTTTCCTCAGCATTGATTGTTAAATCTGTAAATTCCTGTATGGAAATTTATAAGACATTGTGTAGTCTGCTCTCCTCGCAGTACTGCTAATTGAAGGATGGGCCACAGCAGTGTCGATGAACAATCCAGGCACTGTATCTTGACAGGACCATGTAGATCTAGGTCATCGAGTGAATTCTTGTGTCAAAAAATGTGGGGAGAAAAGCATGATTTGAAAGTAAAATTGTTCAAGTCTATTTTGGTGTTCAGGTTTAATTCAGACAGCTTTAAAATTTTCTGGTAATCTGCTATCAGGAAAATAAAGCAACACAATTTAAAGGTTTATAATATAAAATTAGCCTGTCCCTAAACAAATAGATGTGCTTGTTAACACGCTTAAAGTATTCCTGCAAGGTAAGCGCCCATTATAATTCAAAGTGAACACAGCAAATGCAAAGAAATCTGCCCAAAGTTCAGATATAAATAATTCATTTATACTTTTACCACACATGGAATGGGACTTCTGCATTTTCAATACTTTTTCTATAAACATGCAATATATTGGCTACTTATATTGATGCTGTTCTCTCTCAAAAAAAAAAAGTGAAACCAAACCAAACAAGAAAAAAATGCAAGCAAAAAAAGAATTCCAACACGGAACTTCAAACATATGGCGGTAATTGTTTTTTTGACTAAAGAATAAGACTTATATCTGTAATTGCTTTTTCTTGAATGTTGTAGTTTTGACTGATTTATGGTTTAGTTTATAGTCAACAGTTTAAATACTTTATAGAACACATTAGTTTTTCCATGGTTTTATGTTCTGTATGTGATTTTCTTTTATCTTCTGTGCAATAAAACACTTTAATTTGTTATCATAAATCTATACAGAGTAAAAGCAAAGATTTTGAACTAATTTTGAAGTCTACTCTGTTTCAACATTTCCCAATTTCAGTATTTACTGTTGTTTGTAACACTTGATACCCTTTGTCTTCAGTTGGAAAAAGCAGTTTGAGTTATAAATCATTAGTCTTAGTCATAGAAGTTCAACCAAAAACAGTTCTGGCTTGTTTTCTCATGGGTGTGTTTCTGTTGGAGAAATGAGCCAGTGTCATTTCTTCAATGCTTGTGTTCTTCACATCTCCTTTCCCAAGTGCACTTAAAGAAATGCAGTTTGTTAGGATGTTTCTTAACTTTGTGTAGCAGGAGCTAATTTTAAGATCAAACCTAATGGATTATTTTGATAAAACTAAATTCCAATTATATGTTATCTTATAACTATTATTTCTTGAGCTGAAATACATGTTCTCCAACTTGATTGTGCCTGTTTTTAGTTCAGTGACCTGATGATTCTGGTGTGGGTCAGGTACTCTTATTCTAGCACGCAGATATGCTCTCACATGAGCAAGAGCTGGTCCTTTACAAAAGCCTGGTACATATGTTTGTAAAACTGTCTGTAATATTTGTCCTCTTCACTTTGAAATGTGAAATTATGAGAAATACACAAATATTTGACTACTATGTCAAGAAAGAGTGAATGTACTTATTTTTTTTCCCTTCAAACTTTTCATTTGCTGTCCTAAGGTAACCTCAGATTCTTATTCTATGTTAAACTGGCATTGCAGTGATTGGCTCTGAGCTAATAGTTGCTGATTTTTACCAGCAATTTTTGCTATGTTCAAAAGTAGGTGACTGCTGGAACTAACATGCTCTAGGAGCTCTTCATACCTTGAGCTTTTGAGAAAAAAACTGAAGGAAGAAAGTTGCTTGATATCTTTGGCTTGCTCTACCTGGTTGAAAGTTACTCTAGGAAAGATAATGGCATAGTATATGCCATAGAAATTAGGCTAATTGCATTATTTGCTAGAGCCTTTGCAGTTGGAAGAGCCAGCAGATGACTATCTTCAGGTATGTGGTGTGCTCCTTAGACAACAGGGCTAAGAAAAAGTGTTTATTGTGTACTACAGTTAGTTTTTAGGCTGGTGACTAATGACAGTGCTGTTATTTTATTGTTGTTTTTGTTGTTATTAGTAGCTTTTCAGGAGGATAAGAATTGATTAATCTTATTTTAACCCTTTTTTTCCCCCAAGGGTATATACTTACCTTGGATATTGCATTGTAATTGTAGAGGAGAGTTGTTTTTACTTTTCAGCCTTCCTTGGTAGAAACTGATTTCCATAGGATGAAGTAGAATTTCTTTTATTAATGTATTCCAGCTTTCCTGAGTGGGTATTTGAACCCTCTGTCTTTGCACAGAATTAGCATTTTTGGCAGATGCTAGACTCTATATAGAGCAATGCCAATGCTTCTGAAAAAAGGTTTTCCCAAGTGTCAGAACATTGCATTGAGATATGCTTCCAACAACAAAATTGGAGTTGGAAACACTGTAAGGACAAGTCTGTTAAAAGATGGTTCACAGATGAATTTTAATACATGATTTTCTACAGACAGCAACTCTCAAATTGGCAGAAGTGACATTTGGTTGTGGGATTTTGTTCTTGTCAGAGAAAATACTCTCAATAGCAACTGCTACTGACTGCTCAGTTCTACTCATCACAGCTAGTGCTACAGGTGGCTGGGGTCTACTACAGGCCACCTGATCAAGGAGAGCCTGTTGAGAAGTCTTTCCTGCTTCAGCTGCAAGTGTTATGTTTGCAGTCTCTTATCCTGATGGGGAATTTCAATCATCCAGCTACCTGCTCAGAAAACAGCGTGGTGAGCTGCAGGCAATCCAGGAGACTCCTGTAGTCCATCAATGATAACTTTTTGCTTCAGGTATTTGGCAGATTGACCAGAGGTGAGATGTTACTGGACCTGATGTTCACCAGTGCAGTAGATACCGTTAAAGACATTAAGATTGGAGGCAACCTGGCTGCAGCAACCAAGCCCTGAGTGAGTTTGTGATCTTGAGGAATGTGAGCCTGGCAAAGAGTGGAATCAGGACAATGAACTTCAGGAGAGTGAAGTTCAGGCTGTTAAAGGGATTGCTGGAAAAGATCTCCTCGGAAGCTGTCCTTAGAGAGGAGCAAAGCTGGCTACTCTTTGGGGATGCCTTTCTGAGAGCACAAATGATCTCCATCCCTCAGAATACGAAAACAGGCAGGGAAGGCAGGAAACTGTTGTTGCTTGGCAAGGACAGGCTAGTCACACTGAGTGAAAAGAAGGGCATGTCCTTGGAAACGAGGGTGTATCATCTGGGAAGAATACATGGATGGTATCTGGACATGCAGAGATGGGATTAGGAAAGCCAATAC